TTTTGTGGAAGCATGTTCTGGCTATTCGAGGGAAGGTTGGCACAGACTGTCTACAGATGCGAGACTCAAAGTAGCTGTTTGTGCAAAAGCCGTTGGGGATTATCCCAGGTTTGTTTCGCAGTTGTCACTATCAGCAGATGCAGTTATTTTTAATTTTTATTCATCTGCGTCATAATCCCCTGGGAAGTTGTATAACCTTTCTTTTAACCTGACTTTCGTTTAAGTACGCCATAGGCTTTGTAAGTGAAGGATTAAATATTGTGAGGAAAAATTGATAAATATTCATTGAGAAAAGTCTCTTCAACCACTTCCTTTTTATGCCTACTTAGGTAAACGATTTTTTGGAATAATGTACTTCACATTCTGGAAATTTCACTGGATTTAAGAAGTATGTTTTTAAAAAAACGAAATATGATTTCGAATTTTCTACTCTCGTCAAATTTTTAGCGGACTATGAAAATAGTGGAGAACTCTGGCCATCAATGAGTTCTTAATTCTCATCAATTAGTGTACTGAATAAATTTATTATAAATCTGAATGCCTCAAACATCGTTGGGGAAAATTGTAAAAGTTTTTTCCAAATTTTTACCAGCGTTGGAAAGCATTAATCCTACGTGGAAATAGGAAAACCCTTGCCTACTGTGACCAAGTTTGTGAGGATCTTCGCCGACCAGAACAATTAATAACATTGGTGTTCACTATTTTTTTTATAGATATTTGAAGACTTTGGTGCTGCTGGCATGCAGCTCAACGCTGAATGAAGAAGAGAGATTGCGCTTTCAGAAAGAGATTTTGTCAGTATTGCCAAAAGTTTCAGTAGGTGAGACACCGCAAAGAATTCTCGCCTGAGCATGTTCAAAACAAAAAGTAATAATAATAATGTGTAATTTTTGTAGATGATGAAGTGAGTGTGAAAGCCGGTGACGTTCTGGAAGTGGAAAGTCTCAAAATTTTGCACGAATTCTGCCGGGACGGACGCGAGGACAAATTTGGCGGGAAACTCGTGGCCGATTCCGAAGCTCGTGCAGAAATGATGTTGCGTACGAGATTCCCTGCCCCGTTGGTTGCCGACAAGGTTGTGCTGAAATTGAGGCATCGCGGGACGATGGCTTCTGAAAATACGAGGTCGGGTCACGCGAGTGCCGAAAAGCATGGTCATCCTGCTTTTGGGCGGGAGAGAAAAGGGAGTCATTCGAGTCCGAATCAAAGTCCTGCGACTTCCTTGACACCTGGGTCAGGGGATATGGATCAAGAAGGTTTGTTTCTAGAATTCCTAAAATTTTGATGGAGTCTCATTACTGAAATTGAAAATTAATTTTAAATTGTACCTTTGGAAAGTTCGTTGTGTGCTTTTGCACGCTATTTTTCCCCGAGGGGATTATTACATTGAAAGGAATGTCAATTCAAAGTCGAGGAGATGTTGACTTATTTTACTGATAGTGGCATGGAGTTTTCCTGTCCAAGTTTAGTGGAATGCAGTTTTCCTGTCCACGTTTAGTGGAATGCAGTGTTCCTGTCCAATTTCCGTGCCCCTTATATTAAAAAAGGCTTCTTTCCCTTCGCTATGATAAATTCGAGGATTCGTCTGAACATTCACTTCTCAAGAGTTTTGAAAATTTCCTGAAGAAATTATTATTTTTGTGAATGCCTTCGTAAATCTGATTCCATTTTTTTCGTGAACCGTAGGTAAAGTTTAAAATGTAACAATTTTTTCAGGAAAATATATTATTCTTGACCAAGGTTAAACAATTTTGAGTAATTTATTAATGAATGCGTTTTTCAATAGTAATGTCATTGTGAACAATTTCTTGCTTCTCATGTGCTCCTGAAAAAGTTTCAAAATGTTTTCTGTTTGCTAATTTTTGCTTGTGTTTTAGAAAATTGGATGGGACGGGTATCGCTGGAAACATTCCAATTGAATATGGTGGAAAATTTCGAATACAAGTTGGACAAAACCATTTCAGTTGCCGGTGTAGGATGCCAAAATTTCCAGCGTTTGATCAAGTAAGTATTCGTTTGATCAAGTAAGATAATAATTCTTTTTTTTTTTTGACTTTTTATCTCTCATGGTTTAATAACTCGAAATCGTGGCTGGGTAACAGTGAATTTTTGTACAGAAGTTTATAGAAACCTAAGGAAGCTTCATTTTAGCTGCAACAGGGTTAAATATTCATGGAAAAAAGTATGACCTGTACTAAATTCGCGTGCCTTACTCAAATTTGATTTCTTGCACTGGGCAACGTACAATTTCAAAAATTTCGAGTGGTTGTCATTTACATAAATGCTCTGTATTGAATCCTTTTTAATTTTAATCAGGACGGCTCATTTCCGGGTTTTAAAATTTGACAAAGGTGCCTGAATATTTTGTCAGTGTTTTATTTTCGGGAGAAACAAGGCACCCGATTGCTTTCTAATTTTTTTCTTCATCTTCAGAAGAAAAGACACCATCTCCCCGAAAGCCCGTCTGACGTCAACCTCGTCGAATCCGTTACCCGAGCAAGACATCTCCGAACTGGAGTCGTCCACTGTGAAATTCGTACCCGGAAAGTCGACCTACGTTCTCGTGTCTGCCAAACTGGGCAGCAAGGGACGTTACGTGGGCTACGAAATAGTTGTCAGTTTGTTTTCCGGCAAACTACGACTAGTGTACGCTCCTAGTTTTCCGTTCGTCAGTTTCTCGGTGTTCAGTGAGCCGGCTTCCGTGACTGTGGCTCCCGCGACTCGGGATCTGATGGCCGGATTGGAGGAAACGTTTTGCGTGCTGGTGAAGAGCGGGACTTTGAACATCCCGGAAGTGAGTCTCGGAAGAAAGTTATTTCCGTCTTTGTCCCTGTTTGAAAATGGCGTTATTTTATTTTACTTTTTTTTGGGAGCGGGACGCCCTTGAAGCGATGGCAACCCTGCGGTCAAGAGACGTCATTAAGTTCAGAAAAATTTTAGGAATTTTCTACAGTCGGGTTAGGTGAAGCTGTTCAGACTCAGGATTCCTTTTCGGTTTTTGCGCTTGTCACATTAAACTTTTCAAATTAATGATGTTCATTTTCGATTTGTTTTTTTTCAAAGGGGGAAAAAATCGTGCTGAAACCCACCCGAGGCTTGGAACTTCGACTGCCTTCTCAGACGAAGTTCTCTGATGGTGTTACACTCGAACTTCCGGGAATGAAGCCGTTCTGCGAAGCACAGTTTGAAGTTGAAGCCTTCTGCTGTTTGAATTCTTCCGGACGCGAAGGAACGCTATCCATTCCTCATAAAGTAAGTTGGGAATACTGTACCGTATTCCAAAAGCTCATACCGACATTTTTTGTTACCTCAAAAACTCGAGTTTTATCGTATCTTGAATTTAAACCGGAATTTTTTCTAAGTGAGGTAATTTGGATGGAAGGGTGTGTTTTCTCTAATTATTGTCTTCAAAACTTGTGAAATTCTGCAAGTTGAGAGCAAGAAATTATCAGAATTGCTTAAATCTTCCAAGAAACAATTTTGAATCCTCAATTCCATGCTTACAAATTTTACAATTATTTTCACCTAGTGAGTGTCTGGGACGAATTAAATAATGTCCAATTTAACCGTATGGGAAAACGCGTTTCGCATAAGGAAACGCACTCAGGAAAGAAGTAGTTTCGTTTTGTGGGGACTGGGGACCCTCAGTACTACGAAAGAGAGAAACGGTATCTGCATGAGTTTCGCGCGAACATTTTTTTTTCTTACATTCAACAAAAATTGGGATGATTTTATATATTTTTTACGTCTTTCTATATTGTGGTTGACAAGAAATTGTAAGAGCAACAGAAGAAACAATTTTGAATCCTCAATTTCTTGCTGGAAACTACACAAAACTGTATTTTTAATTATGGTTGACTGCTGAGTGTCTGGAATTGAATAATGTACGATGCAACCCTAGGGAAAACGTGTTTCGCGGAAAAAACGCATCGAAAAGGTAATTGGTTTCGTTGTGCGGGAACCCATCGTCGTGCACTACGAAAGAGAGAGAAATACTGTATCTCTGTGTATCGCGCGAAATTTTTTTTTTAATTGAGACAGACAAGTAGGAGGATTATTTTATTTATTCATTTGACGTGTCTCCAGATTGCGGTTGACGCGAAATGGTCAGAGCCGTGCGACGACCTGGAACTCTTCTTCGACCGTCCTTTTTCCTTCGAACACCGGATCCTGACTGCGTGCGACAAGAAGTTTGTGCGTGTGGGTNGACAAGAAGTTTGTGCGTGTGGGTCTGCGTGCCACGCGCGATGTGATGTTTGCCGTGTCCCGTCATTCCCTCAAAGTGATGAGCGGCAGTCCGGGGTTGCATGACTGTCTACGAATGTTGAACCCTGTGGCCGAGGTTCTCAAGGTAACCAAGGATTTTGGTGCCAATTACGTGTGGGAACTGGACCTGAGTCGGGCGAGTGGCAACGCGATCGGGTCCAAGTTGGTGCTGGAGTTTTCTGCCGATTTCCGGCTGGACTCGGAATCTGGACAGTCCAAGAGATGTGATCATGTTTTCGAGTTGACTAATTTTAGGGTGAGCCTTTTATATTTACCTTTTTTTTGAGAGGCGTTGTTTATTTTGCCCCTGAACTATCCCACGAATAACGTGCATTTTCTTTGCTCAAAATTAAATTGGGCCACGTTATAGAGTTTTCTTTTCAACTGAATTTCTTGATCGCTTTTTGACTAAATTTTACGCGATTTCCGTGTGGACACGGGACCCGGACAGCGAAAAGAATGCTATCATGTTTTCGAGTTGACCAATTTTAGGGTGAGCTTTTTAATTAATTATTGAGGCGTTTTTGATTTTGCCCCTCAAATTATTCTGCTAATACTGATACTGTATAATTTTTAATTTTTTGCGAAAATTGGCTCAAATTAAGATCAGGCTGCATTAAACATTTTTAGCTGAAATCCCTGATTGCTTTTGATGAAATTTTCCGCGATTTCCGGTTGGGCTTGTGATTCGGTCAGTCAAAAAAATGCGACATTGTTTTCGAGTTGAGCAATTGTCGGGTAAGTCAGTTCTTTATTTTGAGGCGTTTTTGTGTGTTTTTTCCCTCAAAATATTTCGCAAATGCTGATATAATGTGCCTGTTCTTTACCAAAATTGGCTGAAAAGAAAATCAGGTAGCTTCTTAGATTTTTCGCTGTAGTTCCTGATCGTTTTTGACTGATTTTCGGTTGGACTCGAGATCCGGAGTCCAAGTTATGTGATCATGTTTTAGAGATCAATTTTAGGGAGAGCGTTTTATTTATTTTTTGGTGTTATTGATATCGTCTGCATTTCCGTTTTGCCCCGGAATTTATCCCGCGAATACTGCTATGACTTGAAATTTTTTGCAAAAATTTTCTTTGAATGAAATTTGCCCGCGTGTTCGAATTTCAGACGAAGTTCCTTATGGCTTTTGACTATATTTGCCTCATTTTCAGACCTTGTATGCTGTGAGATCGGTTGTGG